GAATGATTATCAGTTCCACACACAGAGATATATAAATTCTACATTTATTTAAATGGAAAAAAACCCCCAAAAAACTTCACTGGTATCGGATCGGTATCGGCCAATACTGAACCGTAGGTATCAGAATCGGTATCGGAGGTGAAAAAGGCGGATCGGAGCATCCCTAATGAAAACATTTGACTATACTTTCATTTAATCCAAACTGTGTACATATTTAATTTTAAAGGGCTTTTGAAATCCCAGAACTGCTTTTCTGACTGATATGACACAAACAATGTTAACCATTTGTACATTCTCTAACACGCCTATTTTAGATTCACAATTCATTTAAAAGCCTCTGGTGTGTAAAAATAGTAAATATCATCATGTCCTCCTGTTTTTTACCCTAATAAAATTTATAGGAGCATTAAATAGTTAATAGAGAATGGGAATCTACGTCACGCCACGTTGGATTCCGCCATGTTTTAGGTCACGTTCAGGAGCACACAGTGTAAACACACGCAAATCACCACAGAAAAAACCCACCATTTACTATTAATATTTTTTTGAAACCCATCTAACATACTCTTAGAATAAAACGGACTAATATGTAAATCTAGCTAGATCACAAACAGTGGATAATTTATCATTGTTATATATCGTAATATTGCCAAGTAAAACTGCCCAGTGTAAAGAATTAAGCCATTATAGAGGTAACAGAACCTACTAGAAGGCTAAGCTGCTTTGAAACGATGTGTATTGTGGATGCTATGCAAATAAATACCTTGAACAAACAAGTTGAAGATTCTTACTATTAGAGATGCCGAACAACGATGCAAGCGATCAAATAAATGAATGAATGAAACTTAATCCGTGCAAACAAGTGGCTGGGTATCAATGAGCTGCCGCAAGATAACGTTTCCATATATGATTTTCTTTTATTTGTGGTGTGAGGGCTTGTGTTTAATGCAAACCACTGTATATATAAATCTACAGAGATCAATCAATCAATCAGACACATCTTATTTGAGTTGTTTACCATACCGAGTTTCAGTTTAACTTTTATCCGAGTTCTGTAGTGAATGTAAGCTAGACATTTTATATTATTTTATGTTTATATGATTCAACTTAAGATCGCGTTGGAATGATTAACGCTTACTGTATCAACATAGCATTAATCAAAAGCAGAAGTATTTAATGCAGACATTGATAAGGGCTTGTCATTGAAAATGCATTGCCGCTGTGATGACACATTCCCATTCTCTTATGCTCGTTATATTAGCGTTAGCCGTGCTTATGCTAACGATTAACTACTCCAATAAAAGTGTTCATTTCAATCTGACATTCAAATTAAAATATTGAATAATATTCATAACAGAAGCGGTGTTTCCCATAGACTTGCACTCTATTTGCAAATTCATTCTCTGCCAGCAGGAGGCGCTGTTGGAGTGGGAGAGACAGAGGTTTCCACAGTAACGGCTGTAATCAAATAAGCGCTGCGCTCACAAACTGCTCAGGCATTACAGGCAAGATGAAATGAAAATGTCATCTATAATTTTCTGAAGACAGTCAGTTTTCTTCAGAAATACAGTGATATAAAAACACCCGCACCAGGTTTCGACTTTGACACGTGCAGTGCTCATGTTTATTCAACGAAGTCAAAGCCTTTTGGAAAATCTATTTGTGGCGGTCGGTTTTGATATTGTGGTGGGCCACCACAAATAAATCAATGTATAGGAAAATACGATTATATAAATAAAATTATATCTAAATATAAAAAATTTAAATGAAATTTACCTGCTTGAACTCTTTCATTTGATCTGGGTGTCTGTCTTTAAAGTGTTTTGTTAGTTTGGTGTGTTTCCTCATTTTGATGTCGCCACGTCTCAGTGCTTTTATGAAGAGAGCGCATGTGCGCACCTTTCAGATAGCGCATCAAGAACCGCATTGACCGGGTACTCTGTACCACCGGTACTTAAAAAAACCTGGTACCGTAACATTTTAATTTTTTTAGTACCGACTTGGTACCGAAGTACCGGGTCTTTTGACAACACTAATTACTAGGGCTGTCAATAAATATTAGAATATTCGGCGAATTTAAAATAAAAATCCATATTTTATCCAAGGTTTTTGCATTCAAATTTTAGGTGTGTGTCAGGCAGCCTTATCAGTGGCGCACGAAATGCGACGATGATGTAAGTGTCATTGTGTGACGAGTGGGGGCGGGGCCGAGAGTCGTGGGAACGGAGCGAGGTCGGTGGAGTAATTGATAATGAGTGACACCTGCACCACTCACCGGTCTCCAGTCCCACTCGCGTCTCGCACAAGAGAGCTGCATGTTTAGAAAGCCATGTAACATGAATGTAATTTCAACTTTTAAAAAACATGTCTCGAGACCTTATGTTTTTTTTCCCCCATCCCACTGCATCTTATGTTTTTAAATAAAAAAGTACTCTTTGTGATTGGTTTTCAGTCCTTTGTATTAAACTAGGCTTTACATACATACATGATGCTGTTTTGTTTGTTAATGTTTAAGCAAATGAATTAATTATATATGGTTTATAAACATAAATTTAAACGTTATGCACTTTTTTTCAAAGATATTCGTGTAATTTTATTGCTTTGAAGAAACGTGCATTAGTAATATTTTGCTCGATGCACCCTCTTGTGGCCTCAGGAGATAAGCCAAACTTTGTGCCTTTGTGCCTGTGAAATTATGCCTTTTAAATCTGAATATAATTCGAATATTGATAATATTGAAGTACAAAATTCGAATTTAGTTTTTCAGCCATTTTGATGACAGCCCTACTCATTACCTCTTTGGTAACTGCTAGGTTGTCAGACTACTGCTTAAGACACAGTTTTAACATAGAGGCTAAGTTTATGCAACTAGCCTTAGACCAGCGGTTCCCAATCCCAGTCCTCACACCCCCCTGCTCTGCATATTTTGCATGTCTCTCTTGTTTTGGAATATTCCAGGGATTTTTGGAAAGTTTCCGGAAATTTACCGGAAATGTTCCACCCCTTTGCAACCCTAGTTCCGATTGATATGATCCCTATACAGTGTTCATTGCTCCCTATTCCATGAGCAGGGGAAATCCGTTTAAGTTTTCTTCTCTTCGGAACATTAATTCATGGATTTGCGCTGCGCCGCTGCCTGCAATGTCTCACACACCGATGAGTGTGACATCATTAGAGCCCAACCGATATATCGTTTAGCCGATATTATCGGCAGGTCAGTGGAGTGTAGAGGTGCACGGATGAGCTCAAACTTCACCCGAGTCCGCTGCTTCGAATTATCCGTCTGCCACCCACCCACACCTATATTTGATCGTCACATTACAATGATTCTAATTCTTAGTTTTGCATGATGATATGATGAATGGATGGTTCATTTTAACCGCAAATTCAGTGACGTTAGAGACTAGAGCTGATCTGCGCATCACGGCATGCGTCTGCGGCACATTAAAGCCTGTGTTACTGCCACCGGAGCTGATCGCGGCCACTCAATGCTGGTGTTTACATTTACATTTAGTCATTTAGCAGACGCTTTTATTCAAAGCGACTTACAAATGAGGACAATAAAAGCAGTTACTCTCACAATGAGCTTATCATATTCGTTTGCTACATTAGTAGGGCCCTATGATTTCTGCGATGCAGAAAACATGGACGGAATCACAGAATCCAGTCATAAAAATGGAATTTACTGTATAAAGTGGAATTTCATGGAATTTGTCTTATTTTTGATGAATAAATGAAAAACAGGTCAGTACATATATATACGTATATATAGACTGTGTCTGTGAATATTAAACTGCAAAAAGACGATTTAAATGTGAATGTTCTGCATGTTCATTGAATTACCAGAAAATACACAACACAAGAGTTTGTGAAATTTTTTTTGATTAATTATTATTATTTATTAAATTCATGTCTAGCACACTTTAATGCACTTTGAATGGAACATATACACTCGTTTCGAACTGGAATCATGGCGGAATATCCGGTGATGTCCACTTCGCAGGGCACTAACGTTCGAATAGAACAAACGTCGTACGTGATAAGAGATACAGGTGCATCTCAATAAATTAGAATGTCGTGGAAAAGTTTATTTATTTCAGTAATTCAACTCAAATTGTGAAACTCGTGTATTAAATAAATTCAGTGCACACAGACTTAAGTAGTTTAAGTCTTTGGTTCTTTTAATTGTGATGATTTTGGCTCACATTTAACAAAAACCCA